AAACATCCACTAAAATATCTTGTCTTGATTCTGAATTAAATTCACATTAGAGAGCCGAACAAGGTCCAGAGGGGCCTGGTTTTGTCCTGGTTCTGGGCCTGGTCCATGTTCTGGTTCTGGGTCCTCTTCCTGATCATGGTTCTGGGCCTGGTTTTGGGCCCTGTTCCTGATCATGGTTCTGGGCCTGGTTTTGGGCCCTGTTCCTGATCCTGGTCCTGGTTCTGACCTGGTCCTTTTCCTCATTCTGGTTCTGAGCCTGGTTTTGGTCCTGGCCTGGTCCTCATCCGGGTTTTGGACCTGGTCCAGTTGCTGGTTCTGGGCCTGGTTCTAGTCCTTGTTCTGGGCCCTCTTCCTTGGCCTGGTTCTGGCCAGGGCCTGCTTCTCTTGCTGGTTCTGGGCCTGGTTCTGGTCCCCTTACTTGTCCTGGTTCTGGCCTGGTTCTCTTCCTGGTTCTGGCCTGGCTCTGGTTCTCTTCCTGGTTCTGGTCCCCTTCCTTATCCTGGTTCCGGGTCTGGTTGTGGTTCTCTCCCTGGTTCTTGCCTGATCCTCGTTCTGGTCCTGGTTCTCTTCCTGGTTCTGGTCCTGGACATGGTTCTGGTCCCCGTCTTGGTTCTGGCCAGGTTCTTTTCATGGTTCTTGCCTGGTCCTCGTTCTGGTCCTGGTCCTGGACATGGTTCTGGTCCCCGTCCTGGTTCTGGGCTGGTTCTCTTCTTGGTTCTGGCCTGGTCCTGGTTCTGGTCCTGGACCACTTTTTGGGGCTTTTAAACTGTTTTGTTGCTGTTAATGGATCCCGTTTTCTGAGTCTCCGTCCGTCTGAGGAAGTTGGAACAGAAGTTTATGAGAAGGAAAACTTCAGAGGAGCAGCAGGACGCTCGGAGCGCTCTGATTGGACAGATGTTTGCATCACTACTTGTGGGCCCAGAATCTAGAGAGTGAGGCCTGCCCCCCCTCTGGGAGGAGATGTGAACAGGGGCAGCAGCTCAGAGCTCCGTGTGTCAGATGAAGTCCTGTTGGACCACTTTGAGTCTGTCAACAGAAAGAGCTGAGTCATGTTTAGACACTTCAGTCTGTGAAGACTGGAAGACTTCCACAGATCCCAAAGCATCAGATGGCTTTTCACAGCAAATGGGGTCTGATTGCTGCTTTTTCTGCTGGACTTTTAGCCATTTCAGATCAAGTTTCCTCTGACCACCATCTTCTGACCCACAGGAAAGAATGGATGGAGGAAGTCGTCGATCGTTCCCTAACCCACTACCGCCCCCTCCCCCGCTCGCCCCTCCAGCCCCCTGCTGGAGGATCACATGGTCGTATGACCCGACCTCTGCTGGTTCCCCCCCCAAAAGACCCCCACCCTGTCACCCGGCTGTCCATTTCAGATCAGGTTTACTCTGGCCAGGATGTTCTCGGTGGAGTCTGCTGCACCTGGACCACTTCAAAAAATGAAATAAATAAATGTATGGAATATTGGTGTCCAACCAGCTGTTTCTTCTTCTGTGGTGTGGAAATGTGTTTTTTATTTTTTATTTTAAGATTGGGATTTTCGATATCTTCTCTAAACTGGTGAAACGAAGAAGCTATTTTCACATCTGTGGATGTTTTTAGTGGTTCAACAATAAATCCTTCTTGAATTCTGGTGTTGAATCAGAACCAGCCCCCCCCTCCTGAACTGCTTCTGGACGCCCAGCAGACCGACCCAAACCCTGACCACATGTTCACCAGAACAGCAGCCGAAGGATGTTGCTGTAGTGATGCCACTGTGTGATGTCATGGAGATCTTTGTGATGTCAGCCTTAGATGTTGCTGTTACCATAGTGATGACACAATGTGATGTCATGGTGATATTCGTGATGTCAAGAACAACTATCAAGATTCCAGAATCTCAGTCATTGGTCATCTACAGTCCTCTACTTTACCAGCTGAGCTATCGAAGGGATGCACTGACTGTGTTCTCTCCAGTTCTTTCTCTTCAGCTTTACCCACAACAAAACACTCCCCTGCTTTGGTGTTACCATAGTGATGTCACTGTTTGATGTCATTGTGGCCTTTGTAATGGCAGCCTGTAGTTTCTGAAAGTAAGTGGAGCTGGTCTGACTCGCTGTGAAAGACATTTTTCAAGAAACACATAGTGTAAGCTCGGAGCAGTTGGACTTCCCT